GTGGTTTCAGAATAAGTACTATAGAGAGGATGATGGTGGTCGAGGTGTCGAAAAGGGGGTCGTACCAAATCCACCTTGGGGGAGGGGGGTCGTAAAAATTTTTCAAAAGTAACAACGATAGGACCGACCCTGGTCCCAAGTACAGTGATTGGCTCACTCGGGATGTTCCCCCCCCCTAAGGACATGAGCGCCAATAATTTCTATTAAAATCGAATTTTAGCGATTTGGACAGAATAATCGGAAATATATTTTGGAGAGTTCAGGGGAGACTGTCTCGCCCAAAGCTTCTGCCTGAGCAAAAAAAATAAAAAAACATTTACATAATCAGGAGAGGAAAGCCAAAGATAAGAAAGGATAGTTCTGCAGGCACCATAGCAACGAATCGTAACCCACGCAAAAGATTTTCGTAGACGAGAAACTGATAAGGCGAAAAAGGTGCAGCCGCACAGATCGAAAAACACTCACTAGAATTGATAAGGTACTGATTGGTGAAGCCCGGATGGTCGACGTCATGGATGGCACCGGCGAATATCGCCGCCATTACCTCGAGATCAGAGAAAACTTCCTGAAATTCGAGCTCATTCTTCATGCCAAGAAAAAAAACACCCTTCAAAAGTGTCACTCACGGTGAGCACGGGAGAAGTGAGCAATACATGCATTGACTGAGCAACGTCGGCGGCATGAATGTGATTGTGATAAGGATTTGATCGATAATGGTGTTCAAGGTTCAGCAGATACGTGACGAACACAGACGACGGGATCTCGAACGTCTGAACGATGTTGGAGTACAGAAGCCGAAGACTGAGCTGAGGTGGGAAGAACATACCTTGATAAGACCTCGTTCCCGGAACAGCGCATAGGTGATAGTGGTGAGGGCGTGATTCTTGGACAGCTCATCGATCTTGAAGACATCCGGTCCCCAATCGTTAAGCTAAAAAACGCACAAGGAGTACTTTAAAGCTCTACTACTATACTAACACTCCCAAGAGCCTCCCTTATTCCCGTTCCCCTCATTTCGAGAACGTCCTCTAAGAAAACGCCGTTTTCAACACGGCTAGCGTAATTCTCCGAACATAAATCAATACGCTGTGACGCCTGCAGCTTTCTTTCTTTCCTCCTCTAGCAGCCTGGCCGACGGACTGCTGAATTAGTATGCAACACTTAAAATCAACAAGCCGTCGGCTTCAAAGGAGAAATGTCCAATATCCGCGCGAGAGAGGCGCGCATGAACGCCTTGCGGTCGCATGAGCGCGCCGAAAGTTATCTACTGGTATAGGTAAACGGCCGGTAACCCATCGCTGCTGCCTCGGTAGCCCTAAGTCTTCTCGTGCTGTTGGCAGCCATTCCCCCAGGTAATTGGCAGGTAGGCGGTCGCTGCTGCCTCGGTTAGACCTAAGTCTTCTTTCCTACCAAGCGTCATTTTCCCTAGGTAATTGGCCGGTAAGCTACCGGTGCTAGTTGTTGGTTGACCTAATTGTAAGTATTCTCGTCCTATTGGGGGTCATTGCTGACTCGTTTCTCTCGAGCATCTCCATTCCAGGGTTGACGCCCTATTCGTATGGGTACAGCTGGTTCCCTTAGATCAATTTTTCTTCCCTTTCTTCTTTTTCTTGGTTGGTACTTCGAGGTCACATATAGGTTTTACTGGTGCGTTCACATGGACGCATAAATAAATAAATAAATAAATAAACAAATATCCGTACCTGTTGCATGTAAACTGCGACCTCTTTGGCACAAGGCACTCCATATTCGGGCAGATGACCTTCATGAGAGGGCGCTCTCAGTTTACGTACACCAGAAATTCGATTCATAGCCGCCGTTTGCGCTTTCTTTAAAAGACCCATCGAAAGCTGCGGAGACGATGTTGACGGTCCCTGAAAACGGGGTTAAATATTAGGTCCTGAAGTCCTGAAATCCGAATCCACAATTTACCATTGGGATCCGAAACCCAATATTGTTTTCTAGGACCACTTCTCCCTCTCAGCGCGGTTGTTTTTCATGGATGAAATAACGTCATGCCCATATTGCAGTGGGTCGCAGAGTGGGCCGAAACGGGCAATTTCCGAGTTCAGATTGGGAATTGCTTAGGCTTGGGTAGGGTAACCCTTGCAATAAAAAGAAGAGGAGCAAAGAATGTAACAATTAGAACCGCTCGAAAAGTGATCAAAAAGAACCTAGAAAAAAGACCAAAAAATCAATATTTCAGGAAATATAGCAGCATAGAAAAACGAGCTTTTCTCAGGAATACGGGACAATTCTCCCAAAAAGGTAAAGCTTCTGGAAAAGCAGATCGCTAAAACAGACTGCTACTTCAATGCGACGACGGCAACGGGACTGATAACACACGTCCCACACCATTTACATAATCGGTTAAGGAACGAATTGAAGTGATTACTAGGTAATTCCCATAACAAATTACGCCGGATTAACGCCCTGTAGTTCGTCAAGAGATTGACGATTAGCCGTTCCACTCTTGTTATTATGCCTTGTGCAGGTGCAGCCAGCTATGCAATTCGAAAATAAACCGAGAACTTCACTCTGCCACTCAACCGTATTTTATAACCCATAACTCACAATCCATAACCCATACTCCAAACTTATAACCCATAACCCATAACCCATACTCCAAACTTATAACCCATAACCCATAATCCAAAACCTATAACCCATAACCCATAACCCACAACCACATAAATCAAAAGATATAATGAAAGTGTAGGGCATGGAAAGCTTGGACCCGCTCCATCCTATAAGACAAAGGATCTACAACCTATAAAGGCAGGTGGTAGGACAAATTCAATGGCGAACAAAGGGATCCAAATAAAAATTATCGAAAAACTGGATTGCGATATTAATTAGTTGAAAAATTAATAGTCAGCCGGTGAGTATATAGAGTTGGGCTTGCCCTTCGGTCTTACAACAATTCGAGCATTCTTGAAAATCGCCACTACAAGGTTTGTTTTCTGGACACTTGCCAGGAAAACGAGGCATAGCAATGAAAATGGTTACAGTGTCGGGCGCTATCGCAAAATACGGGGGCACGGTGATAGCAATGCCCTTTAGACCGCGCGAAACATCACATTTTTGTTGAAATCGGGACAAAGCCTTAGGCGAGGGAGGAGAGACTTTAAAATGCGTGAGTAAATTCCATTTTCACTGGAGTTTCTTTCCACTCTTATATTCGTCTGGAGAATGCCCCCATATCTTCGGATAGCGCCCAATATTGTATAACCTACAACTCAGCCCGCCATCACATAACCACCCTCCACCCCACTGTATACGCAAACCCCTAACCCATAACCCATGACCTCATAACTCATGAAAATGTTATAAGACTTAAAGATGTTCGATAACTATAGATTCAAATATTGCCCTTATTTTTTTTACTAATTATTCATTTAGTGGAAAATATCGATTTAAATGCGTAAACAAATTACTACAAGTAAACCAGTGAACCATTAAAACATACCTCTCCAGGCACTTCGATCTCGATCGTAGGGTCGTCATCATCTTTGTCCATATAGGTAGTAATTAAAAATTTAGACACCTGAGTTCCGGATTTTGAGGACTCAGCAAAATGGCTGAGCTCCTTGTTGAGCATCTTTCGGAACTGAAAACATCAAGAATTTTAATGGGAAACTGTCAAATAGCAAATGAATTCACAAAGAAATTCGAGTTTGTCCGAGCAAAAATACTCCTTTTTATACACCAGTATGTTTATAGAATCCTGCTATAGAGTACAGTTAACAATGTGAAACTGGGTGATAGATTGCACTGATCTCAGCCAAGCCACACCCATATTTGTGTGGGTGGATTGGCGGGGGTTAAATGGAGACCGGAAGGAGGCTGCAAAAGGGTTTGAGGGTGAAGAAGGCGACGATAGCGAAGCGATTTTGAGCCTACAAAGGGGTACAGGCTTGCTGCTGCACCGCTGCGATCAATGTGTCGCCTTTGCGAATCATCGCGACAATCCATCATTCGCCGGAAGTTGCAATTATGTGCGCGACCGCGCGACACAACACTCTTAAAGGTGATATACTGTAACTGATAGTCCAAGGTAGGCGGTGCAGAAGGTTGAACTTCTGCTGACAGTGTTGGTAGAAGGCTGGGCACGTTGCCAACGTGATGATTCGCTGTGACCGGAAATCAGTTCGCCACAGAACCAATAATACGGGGTGATTGTTCCAAAATACCGTGACAATGACTAGGTACGACGAAGACGGGCGAGATCATCGTTTCCGGGTCGTACGTCAAGGTTTCCATAGATCAATGTCACAATCGCCATCACCACCACCGCAACCGCAGCGTAGCGCAGTCGACGACGCGAGGGATACCAACGAGCGACTTTTTACTTCAGCACTTCTTATCACTGGGCTGATAGCGCGGTGCTTACCCGACCAGCATCAGCATCAGTGACATTTTGTTGACACATTCCGCATCGGCTCATTTGACTCTGTTCGCTCGAGATTAATCGGAGGGTATTCCCCCACCCCATCTTTGAAGGTCGTCGTCGGTCGCGGCAGTCCGAGAGTATCAGTTTGCACTTTCAGCTCTTCTTAGCAATCGATTCGTCGCAGCTCCTCTTGCATTTCTTTGGGGGGCAATTACAGCTGATATAGCCAGAACATCTAATTACAAGCTTGCAAATCCTTTTCAATTTGTGGAAATGACTTTCACAAGAAAAAACCCGTGCTTTTCAGAATGACGTCGGGCTGCGGACTGAAAAGTCACATGCCAATTATCGTGACTTTTCTGAGTGTACAAATCATGCAACGATAGAAAATCGTATCCAATCACAACGCGTCACCTGCCCTACCATAGGCACTATGAATTTTAGGATCTTGGGAAGCCGCCTCGCTTCATCGGGTTCAAGCCGCGCGCGCGTTTGTTGCATAAGTCGCCATGCTACCATCTTTCAGGACGTAGTTCTTTTCTCACAGAGAAACATCTTATAGCCTGCTCATTAAATACTACCGTCGCCGTCTGTCACCTGCACCACCATCGCTTAATCAATCCGTTTTCTCGTCCCCATTAATCCTCATTCATCAGTCGATCTAGCCTTCTTGCGCGTAAAAAAACAGAAGATAAAGCAATCGATATCCTACCAAATCCTTTTTTATGAGATGCGCCATGCATTCCTCTTCCATCCAAAATCATTCCTCATATGATTAGAAGGTAGTCTAGCCTATTCAATTAATCGCGATAGCCAACCTATTTACAGTTCTACTTTTGCCACTCTAAACGAGCTAGCAACAACTGAAGGTTTTGGAAGGATGCAGGGCCCAATGCGCTTATCGTGGGCAAATTCTAACTAGGATTTGATCCCTAAGCAGCGCAAAGGCGGTAAGCGTGACCGTTGATGCTACATGTTCTCTCAAGTTCTTCCTCTCTCGGATATCTTATTTACGCGTGCATGCCATATTAATTCATATTGATTGATATGTATATATTATAAAATGGACCCTATTGGTTTTCCTCTTCTCATACAGTAACTTTATACAGGGTGGCTAAAAAGTAAGGACGCGGCTTTGAGCGCTTGCTGGCACTGAGCCGTGGAGTATTTTCGGAATGTTTCGGAACTCTTTGAAAGCTTTGAAAGCTATGTAAGAAGCTCCATAAGTTGTTTGGTCCAATAGTTCATCTGAAGCTCTCCCTATGAAAAACTTTCTACCTTTAATATGAAAAGGTGTGTGAAACTAATCTCCAACCACTAATGCTTGTATGATCCACATTCCAAGTACTCATTATTATTTTCTTTCAGTAGTCCTGACCCATGCTACAGTACCCCCCCCCCCCCAGATACCCCCCCAAAAACGCCTTCTCCTGATGCCAGTCCCCAGCTGTTCATAACACTGCATTCCGCGCGCGCGTGACACTTCCTCGTAAGAGGATGTGGGTCCCCTAATCCCACGAAGCTGAATCACCTGATACACACGACTTCATCACCAGATCACATGTGCGCGGTATATGTGGACGAATTCCGCCCATACTTCTAATCACCTTATGACGCTTTGTGGCTTGGTGATGTACTCAGACCTCTCTTAGAGTGAAAACACCTTGATCAAAGATCAGGCTACCTTGAAAGCGTGACGGTGATGTGTGCTTTCAAATGACTCAGCAATTCCGCATAAAGGTCATGTGCATGGCGTATCACAGAAAAATCGAGGAAAGCCAAGAACCACTACAGTATCTGTTACTTGTTCCTTTGAAGGTTCACGCATTTCTCAAGGCTTTCAACCGCATTGGGCATGCGCGCGGCTCGATTCTGAGCCCATTTCACAGCGCCTGAAGCCAGAGATCGAATGCGTCCGGCGAAACGATTCCTCCACGCATCCAAAGAATCGCCAGGCCTCAAACAAATTCGCCCCATGCATCCACTTCGCTATTCAATTGCCTCCCAAAAACATCCGCGGCGCTCAAGTTCTCCCTTTCTGAAGAAATGTGAAAGATAGCAGGATTTTCAGTGTAAACGAATGGGTTTGAATTGAATTTTATGTGTGTTTACCTTGCTGGAGGCCATTTCCGAGACGGAACGATGGGTTTGAATCGTTTCCAATTGATCCAAACACCAGTCGAGTTCCTCTGAAAAGTACATTTGCCGGCTTTCATGCGATTTCCATTAGAATGTTGACTTTTCCCAACGGATTACCAAGAGTTTCCTGAGCGCATGTGACGACGTTCTCGGGCAACGGGGTGTTGTGAAGCGGTGGTCGCTTCGCCGTGCGATTCGCGTGACGGCCCATCATCCATCGACTATAATTTAGTGAATTTTCTCGAGAAATCAACAACAAACAATATAAGCTGAAGGCTTCCATGGCAATTTGCTAAAACTCCGGCCGGGCTATTTGTTCTCAATGGATAGCCACGATTCCGCCAGATAATCTCTCGCCCCGCTAGAAAACCCTTGCTAGAAATCATGGAATGAAACATTTTCGATTGCTGAACGAACTTCCCTTCGAGAAACTGCCGGGATTAAAAGGGCTTAGTTGTTGAGAACGATGTGGAAGCAACGGGCGAAAACAGAGGATACGCCAGGCCACTGAGGAAATTTTTCAGCTATTACGACCTCACCCCGCCACCAGCTTTAGCCTCATTCCCTCCCTTTACTCCGAGTGCTCTCACACTAAACTATCTTAATGCCTCATTTACTTCTTAAATTTCTTAGTTCTTAATTTTTAATACCCCCCTCCCCTCATAAATATCAACGCAAACAAGAACAGCTCTCTAAGTTTTCCCCTAATTCATTGAAATCTACTTCGTTTCTTTTCAAAATGCCCTGTCACTGAGAAATATTTTCAGCCACTGCAACCCCTGCACGCAACCCCCCCCCCTCGCCCATCCTTTCATCAGGTTTAGGGTCTTACTGGCAACGGCCCGTTCGTTACTCTTACTCCAAGCAACACCAAGCTACTGAATACTTCAATGAATGCCTGAAATCTGTCAGTAGTCTGAAAAGGGTCGTGAACCTCAGGGAATTTTTTTATCTAGTCCCCGAATTTGTTGAGACGCCCATTTACCCATTCCCAAAAGTGCTCTACCAGTCAGATCAAATATCACTTCCTCCTAAATCCCTCCAAAAAGACGACCGCTAACCCCAGTTGAGGGTTTTCCAGCTGAGGGTGAACCAAGGGCCGAAAACCCCTGGATTGGAGACCACAACGGAACTCACCTGGATGTTGGCGATGGAAATGAGATTTGCTCGGACATTTCGAAGGCTAGCGAGCAACTGAGCGAATGGTGTCACGATGAGGTCGTCGCCATGTCTAAACGAAGCGATTTTGATCAAAAATCATCGCCAGGCAGCAATAAGATCAATGGAAAAGCATCGTACAGCTTGCAGTTTAGCACTAGTCACTAACATCGAAGGGAACAAGTCAATGGTGTCGCAATATTACCTAAGTCCAGCCTGTCCGTATTTTCGACGCAGCATAGGTACTGATGTCAGACAGGAGCAATGAGCTGATGGAGCCTTTTATGAGTGGATTTTTCAACGACGGCGACGATGAAACACTTCGAATTCAAGTTCAAGGATGAAAACGAAGATCTTGTGGTGGTGTTATGTCACAGACATGAGTGGGCAATAGTTGCAATAGCACCGGAACACGCGCTGAATGCGCTTGGCCGCCCGCCCTTCACTGAGAGAGGTCCTCAGACGTGTACCCGCCTCTGCTTTGATTGCCACGACGACGACGACGACCACGACGAGACCACGACGGCTACAGCGAGGAGAAACATGCCTCTTTTCACGTGACACATGTCAGTGATACCCAAAGAAATCGGAAAATGGAAAAGAGCAATTGCCATGGGAAATCATTCAAAGAACTCAGCTGCAGCGGCTTTTCGAAGAAAATGTTCGATGAGGTGTTTTTTCCAGGGAAAGAATCAGAGACAGAACTTGTGGAAAGGTCTATCACACACACGTGGTTCGGGCAATTAATGGCATCGACCTTTTAGATGATCGTCTTCACTGTAAACAGTTATGACTCAAAAACTGGTAAACGTCCGTCTTCACCATGATACCACACTAATTGTCACGAGCGCACTTTCGCCGAAAAAGTTCAGCTTCCTTTCCCTACCCATTTCCTACCCTTCGAAGTGAGGAAAACGGGTGGTGCAACTTTGAAAGCGGAAGTTTGTGCGAAACGGACGCAACGAGGACACCCTTTGAGGCAGCATTGTATGGACGTATCGCTGTCAAGTGTTTGCATTTGGAGCGAAGAGGATCCCACGTCACCCGCACCCGCACCCGCACACACCACACAGCCCGGCCAGGCCAAGCCAGACGCGCACAAAGCAAAATTCGTTAGTCGCCTGACATCCTCAACACAACTGACGACGACTTCAATTCGTCTTCTCCCCCGTCTTCAGCCGGATCAATAGAACTAACACTCGGGGCAATTATGTGTCAGTATTTCGGAAACAAAGCCCCGCTATTCAAGCGGTCAATGGGCTTCGTGGCTCTCTACGAGGGAGTCACGGCTATGGTGGCCGCAAAGCCGAAAGGGCACGAAAAACGGGTCGTCAAAGGGATTAATCGAGATGTTTCTGTTGGGTGAAGAAGAACTTTTTGCAGCTATCTCGACAGCTTGGCAAATTAGACGGCGCCAGGAGCGACACCTGCTCCAATCTGCATTGTAAACACGATAGCAACCCTGGGAAATGTCTCATTAATCAGGTTCAAGTCGAGTTCTGTGCGTTTCACGTGCGCTTAAATGTAACGCGCGGCGCGCCAAACGTATCACGAGACAATATCGAACTTACTTTGGCGGTTTCGATAGGAATGACATACGTGCGACTATCCGCACATAAGCAAACAAACGCGACGACACTAAACGGACTCTAAAATTTTCCACATCACACAAACATGTGCCGACCCGACTGGGGCGGCGACGGGGCCTCGTTAGAGAAGCAGAGAAGTGAAGAGATTTGTGAAGGGACGTGAGGTTGAACACCTGTCTCCACGTCGCGTCTGACACGACGAGGAACGTGAGGAAATCAGCACACGGAACAGGTGACGATACGCGACTCTTACCTGGCCAACAACGGATCATCGTCGGCGCACGAAGACGACGTGCACATGGCCGCCGATCTCGAAGGATTCGCCCGTCAAGGTCATTTCTTCTGATAGAAGCGCTCGCCTTGCAATCTTTTCCTATCAATCGCCGCCACTTCCGGTGGTGGTGATGGTTGTGAAGCGATGACGGTGGGGTGGTGGCGGCGGAGGTGACGGTGACGGTTGTGTCGATGATGGCGGTGGTCTGGTGGTGAAGGCGGTGAAAGGCGGTCGTATACCGGCGCACACACCTGGTGCTGTGCCCATTCACGGTTAAAGGGCCAGGGAAAAGAGGATAAAGGATAAAGGATAAAGCATTTGCCGTTGATCAATCCCTTTTTGGGATGCGGCACGCATTCTACTTCCATTTGTACATTCGTAGTGGCGTTTGAATGCGATGTGGCCTATACAATGACTTGCGGGGGCCAGCCGATGTACAAGTCAGTGTTTTTATCCTCCCAGACAAGTCTGGTACCAATTAACCGACCCCGGAGGGATGGAAGGCTTGGTTGGCCCGGGCGACTCACGACCCAGGATTGATCCCCGGAACC